ATCAAGGATGTGTCCCTGGTACTCAATTACGATATGGCTAAATCGATCGAAGACTACACTCACAGAATTGGTCGTACTGGTCAGTTTTTTTTTCACATCACTTGTTGGTAGGGCTTATGTTGGGGCAGATGCCATATTGGGGGGAAATTAGAACAAGGCCAAAGCCTAAGGGGTTTATTGAAGGTCCGATCTGTAAAGCTCTGTCTGATAATAATTCTATGTAGGTAAGACCTATTTGTATCCGTCTTAGTATATGACGAATATGCATATGACCGTTAACTGAGCAACCTACTGAACTCTTTTTACGACAAATAACTGCTTCCATTTAACCAATGCACTTTCAAGTCAATACACGTAGTCTGTAAGTCCGGTACGCAAACATTGTGAAGTGTCAAGCTCGTGTGCTTTGCTACTGCCGTGAATTACTTAGGTCGAATGTATATGTATGTTTCTATTTGTGTCTGACCCGTATTCCAAATGTCCGATGTAGATATTTCTCATTGTGGACTCAGCCTATCTCTTTTAATAATATTTTCTCCTATTCATTTGCTTCAATTGCAATCTTGCTCATAACCTCAATCGTTTCCATCTTATTGCGATTCCTGTATAAACAGATACAATTTGGAAGAACCACATGTAGTCTTGAAAGTTTTCCGTTTAAGTCATCTTTCTCGGAAATGTCATTCGAACCACGAACACATATCTCGCGTTCGAGTTTGTGCTTCTTCCCTGTTTTTCGAATTTTCGCAGTGCCTTCGTTTTTCTTTCTTAATTTTGTATGTTTTCTGCATTCCACGGCTATTATATCTTTAAATTAGAACACATTCTAAATTTACATGAAGGATGCATGTGGATAGCATGTGAATGTTTTGCGTTTGTTTTAAAATATAACCGTCTATTAATACAAATCACACATTGCGCTTTTGTGAAACTGTTCTTTTGTGAAGAATAGACTGGTGTTGTTAAAAATATGCTTCATTCATCCATTTAAGCTACTTCAAATAAGAATTGACTGGAATGAAATAATTCGGCAATTCTATTCGAATGCAAATTGATTTTAATTATTTTATTCAACCTTATGTTAATGTCAAGAAATTGTTGCCATGCAGCAAAAAGGCGTTAGTTTCAAAGAATATGCTTCTGCTTGCTCATTTTGGTCTGATAGGCTCTTTCCTATAATAATTATTTTTTATGCCAACATCGTTCATGACTGGAGCTTTTTTGTGACCGATTCTATTGAAAACTTTTCATAACTTTCACTTCATTTATTACTGGGATCTCATTATAATTTCTATGTCGACCTCAGTTTGTTATAATTTTCAATAAGTCATTGAAATGTACGAGGGAGTTTTTGAAATGGAATGATTTCTATTGGTCTCATTGGAATGTTTTTACATTTTTACTTAATACATACGTTTCTCTATTTAAAACCCTGTGAGAATTGCATGCCGCCTCAATAGCTTAATCTGGGTATTTCATCTGGGGGATGTTATATATGGATGTACACAATTGTGTTCACATGTTTTTTTATCCATGAATGTACGGCTAGAAGCAGTTCTGGGCTGCAACACAACATGGGCCCTGTCGTCGCCGTCGACAACGAGGCTTTTCTCATCGAAATTGTTGTTGTTGCCGAGTGTTTGTGTGTATGTGTATGTGTCTCCCGTCCTCCATTCGCTCGTTCCTTCTATTCTCTCTTTCTTCTTGCTATCTATCGCCTTCTAGTCAGCGCGGCTGGCGCAGGGAATCCTCCGCTGCATGTCTAGCCGTCTTCCTCCCTGGCTTCAGCTAGCAACAACAGAAGCAGTAGCAACAGCCCTGCCCTGTCTATGTCCTCTCACTCTATCTCCGACTATCCCTTTTCTCTCCCTTCTCATGCTCTCCCACGTATGCGCGCAGTTGTTTCCTTTTGCTCCAGCCTTCCCTCACTCCAGTTGCAGGAGCTTATAACCACCCGTCCACATTCGTCACACGCACACACACACATACATACAGACATACATACAAATAAAAACCTCCATACTTGATACTTCTCTCATTCGTTTTTCTTGAACGGTTTTCATGTTTAAAAAATAGTGATGATAGTTGTTGCTTTTGTTCATACATAGTTCTGTTGACCGTGCAGCTGTAGCATTCATTTTTGCTGTTGCCACAGCTGTTAAGCTCAGCTTTTCTACTTCTTTATCGATTCACTGCCCGTTTCACGTGCCTCTCTCGCTCCACTTTCAATAAAGCGTTAAGCTAAACTTTGGCCTCACTCGGCTTTTCCCGCATAGGGAACAAATTGTGCTTGTCTTTGTATAGATCGGATTTCTTCCTGATTTACTTTCATGAACCAGGCAGTTACTTTTTGGGTGTTGGTTGTATGGTGAACCCAATTGAAACGTTCTTGTCGTTCGTTTCTACGTTTTGTCTGGGTTCGCGCTCAGCAAGAATGAGTTGGGTTCTCTAGTACCGGCGATAAGCATAGGATACATCATGTCGCTAACGAACATCGCGTTTGTTTGGCATGTAGCTTGAGAATCATTTTTTCCCACAAAAGATGTTAAGCTCCAAAGTTGAAGTGTACTATTACTACTTATCTGGCAGAAAGCTTCCATGCAAATGCTAAATATACATATGTGAAACTATGTTTTGTTGAGATTCATGTTTCTTCGCTATATACTTATGCTGTTTCATTCATAGTCAACCTTCTCTCTTTATAAAGGATTTAGTATTAAGCTCTGCTATCCGAAAGCAGTATAGGATATGATAGCTTTGCTTTTGTTCAGCGATTCTTTCGGTTTCATTGACTCTTTTCCGGCTTAATTAAAATGCTGTTACTTGGTTTCTTTTATCACGTGGAAAATGGTTGACATGACAACCATATTAATATTCTGTACTATTCACTGTGAATTTGCTTCCATTTGTCTTGCTCTCTTTTTTTGAGTTTGTTTCTGTGTTAGAACTGAATGTCATCACGCTCAGAATGGTTGCATTTCAATATTCATTTGTCGATATCCGTCACTGCTCCATTGTCTTATAAGCTTACAGCTCACGTGTGTAACAGCTTGATTGTTACTCTTTGAATATCAAATTTACGTATAGGAAATATCACTTCTTTTTTTTTATCTTATATTCTGAATAAGAAAGATCCCATAGCCTCCAAATTTGAACATGTTTGTTATGAACCAAATTCTAACTTCTCTTCTTCTAGGACGTGCCGGAAAATCTGGATT